GCTTGCGACATCAAATGGTAGAGCGACGCGTGCGCGATTCGGAGCTGCCTAGGGTGCGCTGGCGCTAAGCTGGATAAGTAAATAAATCAGGATTTTCTAATTTATTTAAATATCAGAGCTTTAAAAAATCATATCTTTGCATAGAAAAATCATAAAAAAAAAGAAAAATACCCCCTTGCTTAGTGAACAGAGGAGAATAATGTGGAATAAAAATAAAAATTTTTGTCAAACATTTAATGAATTAAATACCCTCTGTGGTATTTTAACTCTCCATGATTAAATATTGCTTACCATGACTTGAAATTTTGAGGGTTCCTTCCTCATGACAAAGGTCATGTCTTCTGATTTGTCCAAGGTCAGAGGACATCTCTATGCTTGTAGCCCTAATTTTCAAGCTAAGGTGACCATTTTGAATATTTTAATTATATAAATCAAAATATCATTTGGAAAATTATGGGAATAATTTTAGTAGGTTTCCTATGGTCAGAGAAGTCTAGGAAAAATATCATGATGCTTTGAATTATTCTGTAAATTTCTATATTTAATTAAATGTAAAGACCTTGTGTAAATTTTGGTAAATTATATACTTATCAAAAATTGACAAAGTCAATCCTACATTGTTCATAAAAATCATGTTTATCCACTGTAAAAATTTGAAAGTTATTTGATCAATTTTAAGTATTAAAGTTTATTTTCTAAGGAACATTGTATTTTGGTACAAAAGTAATTATAATAAATTAAATACACTTGAGAAAATTATGAAAGTGATTTTCTGAGTTCCTTGTGATCAGTTCCTTGTGATCAAAGGCACTTAGGAAAAATAAAAATTATTTTTTAGAAAATATTTAATTTTTGAGCCTCATTTTTGAATTTTAAAATAATTTAAAATAATTAAAAATCCAAAAAATATCAAAATATTTCAAAATGTGCTTAATTACTCAAGAACATGCCTAATTATTCTCTGATCACTTGGGATCCATTAAAATTTTTTTTCTAATTTTCCTAAGTTAAAAATAAATTTTTAAAGCTTAAAAAATGAATTTCATTTATTCTCTCATTAAAATAATTATATTAAATAAATTAAAAATCATAAAAATACAAAATTTGATTCTCTAAGTTTTTTGAACTCAGAGAAGTCTAATAAAAATATAAAAATAATCTTTGTAATTAAAACATTAAAATTGATCCAAAATTAAATAATAAATCTAAAAAATTAATTTAAAAAATCATGAAATTTTGCCTAAGTATTTTTCTGACCTAAGAAAACCTTTAAATAAATCAACTTTTGAAAATCCTATTTTCTAAAAATAAATAATTAAATTAAATTAAATTTTTAGAGGCCTACATATTCTCCTCTAATATTCTAATTTCCTCATGGACATGACACTCTAAACCCTCAAAGTCATTTGAGTTGTATTTAGTAAGTTATGAGGTGAGGTGCTCTAAGGGAAAAATAGTCATTAAGGGCAAAATAGTCATTTTTAGACTTTAGTGCCTTAATCAAAATTTAGGATTAACCAAGGTAAAATGGGTAATTTTGATCTTAATAAGCATATTTGGGTGATTGAAATACAATGGAATTAAAAGGTAGAAACTCACTCACCACCTTTGCACAACACCAACAAAATCATAACTCTCCTAATCTTCATGACTTCATGACTTAATCTTCAAGACTTGGAAGTCAATTAAAGATCAAATGATTCTTAAGTAATAGGGGATTAGGCTAGAATGATGATAATTTACTTCTCTTAAGCCCAAAGTTGAGGATGGCTTGACCATTTGATAAGAATGCATATTATTTACATTAAAATTTTGATAATAATCATTTCACCTATTATGATTGTTAAGGGATTGGTAGTGACCTAGGGTTGATGTATAAGATCAATTGATCAGATTTAGAAGACGATATGATTGGTGATTAACATATTTAAACACTACAAGCCTGACCTTAATTGTGGGCACCACAATTTCAAATGACTTAAGCTTACCTTAGGAGCACCTGCTCACATAACTTTTAAATGAAACATCAATGGATTAATTAGGTATCCTATCCTTGGATAATTAAATTGTTAAGTTTCACTGAGCGATGGGGTAGTCACACTCTAGCCTCAGATGATTAATAATAATATGATAAGTCCAAAATGAACTCAGAACATTTCAGGAGATCTTCAAAGTGATTTAAGGTCATGCCTTGAGCATTTTAAAGCATTTTGAAATATATTGGACATTTTGAAGGGCAAATTGGACTTGCCATATTTTGCTCTAAAATCGTTTTGTTCTAAAACCATCAAAATCATCTACTAGGATCTTCTGAGATTCACTAGAGTCATAGCTTGGGGTTTTGAAAGCTAAACCTTTGTCTACTCCTGCAACTTAAATTCCTTGCAAGTACTGACCTTTCAGGTGGTGGAACGAGAAGACCCACCATGTACGCTTTTACAGTTTACAGTACTGTCTTTTCCTATACTTTCCACACTGTACTTTTATGCTTATAAAACTTGCATGTTAAACAATGATGTCACCCTGCATGAAAACCAAAACTGCTAGGATCAAACCAAAACAAAAAAAAAAAAATAATGAAGGAGGTAACTGACCAAAGAAAAATATGTTGAGATTTTCATACCTATTTTATACTGTTTTTGATGATATTGCACTTTAAAGAAAGGTATTTTTGATGTTTTGTTGCAGGAATGATGAAATAGGGTCATTAGAGCAAAAAGATGCAGAAGTGAGAAAATTTGGAGCGAAAAGGACCAAAATGTGAAGATTTGAACTAGGGCGCCGACGGCGAGCCCAACAGCACAGACGACGAACTTTTCCCGAGACTCCATAATTAATTCATTAAGAAGGTCCACCGACTAGGCTTTGAATGAGGACAAATTTTGAAAGGATGCTTAGGCAACTCTTGGGAAAACTCATCCACATCTTTAAAGAGAAGAATTTGGCCAAGAAAAGAGGAGAGGCTCCAAATTTAAGTGTAAAAAAGTGTAGAGAGTCTAAATTGTGAGGAATTCTTCGAGAGATTGTAAGAGTGAAGGGAAAGTGAGAGATTTCTTCCTCCTTGCCGCTTCGAAGGCGAATTCTGTGTGTTGTAAAGAAAGGAAGAGATTCAGAGGAACTTTAACTTCGAGGAGTGTTCTTGGGAAGAAATTAGAGATAAAGTTTATTTATTGTTATAGTTTGTATGACTTTGATTTTATATATGAATTCCGAGTTTTGTTGTGTTTTCTACATGAGATATGAGTAGTTTTCTCTGTCTTTCTCCTTGTCTTGAGAATTGTGAAATAGTGATTTGAATTGGTTGAGCCACGTAAATGTTAAAGAAATTATAATGATATTTTCACTTCGATCTTAATTTACTTTCAATCTTACCAATTGATTTGTTAAAATATGTTGAGTTTTCCAACTAAAGTGAAAATTACATCCAAGATTCAAGGAGGTCAAAGCCCTTGGAAGTTGGGTGCAAATAAATAGAGAAATAAAATTATCGGGCGTAGAATT